GGAAGGGTCACCGGACCCGAAACGTTAACTCTGATTTTTTCTTCACCTTTGCTGGCAAACGTGGCTAGATTTATCTTGGATATCTGGTCGGCATGGATGTGTTGGACTGAGGGTCTGTTTCTGAGCAGTACATCTCTACGACTCTACTTCTGTGGCCTTTGGTTACCCTACTGTACCTGTGCCTCATCATGTCTGCACACTGTGGTGGCAATGCATACACACATCTTTTTTAAACTTGTTTCAGAGATAGCAGGAACTGCAGATGCTGGAGAATCTGAGATAACAAGGTGTAGAGCTGGATGAACACAGCAGGCCAAGCAGCATCAATGGAGCAGGAAGGCTGATGTTTCGGGCCTAGACCCTTCTTCAGAAATGGGGGAGGGGAAGGGGGTTCTGAAATAAATAGGGAGAGAGGGGGAGGCGGATAGAAGATGGATAGGGACGAGCTGGGCTAGTTTTGGGATGTGGTAGGGGGAGGGGAGATTTTGAAGCTTGTAAAGTCCACATTGATACCATTGGGCTGCAGGGTTCCCAAGCGGAATATGAGTTGCTGTTCCTGCAACCTTCGGGTAGCATCGTTGTGGCACTGCAGGAGGCCCAGGATGGACATGTCGTCTGAGGAATGGGAGGGGGAGTTGAAATGGTTCGCGGCAGGGAGGTGCAGTTGTTTAGTGCGAACCGAGCGTAGATGTTCTGCAAAGCGGTCCCCAAGCCTCTGCTTGGTTTCCCCGATGTAGAGGAGGCCACTTTGGGAACAGCGGATACAGTATACCACATTAGCAGATGTGCAGGTGAACATCTGCTTGATGTGGAAAGTCTTCTTGGGGCCTGGGATGGGGATGAGGGGGATGGTGTAGGGGCAGGTGTAGCATTTCCTGCGGTTGCAGGGAAAAATGCCGGATGTGGTGGGGCTGCAGGGGAGTGTGGAGCGAACAAGGGAGTCCCGGAGAGAGTGGTCCCTCCACAAAGCAGATAAGGGTGGGGAGGGAAAAATGTCTTTGGTGGTGGGGTCGGAATGCAGATGGCGGAAGTGTCGGAGGATGATGCATTGGATCTGGAGGTTGGTGGGGTGGTACATGAGGACGAGGGGGATTCTGTTTTGGTTGTTGTTGCAGGGAGGGGGTGTGAGGGATGAGTTGCGGGAAATGAGGGAGACACGGTCGAGGGCATTCTCGACCACTGAGCGGGGGAAGTTGCAGTCCTTGAAAAACGAGGACATCTGAGATGTACGGGAGTGGAATGCCTCATCCTGACAGCAGATGCGGCGGAGGCGAAGGAATTGGGAATAAGAGATGGCATTTTTCCAGGAAGGTGGGTGGGAGGAGGTGTATTCTAGGTAGCTGTGGGAGTCGGTGGGCTTGAAATGGACTTCACAAGCTTCAAAATCTCCCCTTCCCTTACCGCATCCCAAAACCAGCCCAGCTCGTCCTCGCCTCCCTAACCTGTCCTTCCTCCCACCTATACCCTTCTCCCACTCCAAGCACCACCCCCATCTCCTACCTACTAACCTCATCCCGCCCCCTTGACCTGTCCGTCCTCCCTGGACTGACCTATCTCCTCCCTACCTCCCCACCTATACTCATCTCTACTGGCTCTATCCGCCCTCTTTGACCTATCTGTCTCCTCTCCACCTATCTTCTCCTCTATCCTCCCCCTCTCTCCCTATTTATTTCAGAACTCCCTTCCCCTCCCCATTTCTGAAGAAGGGTCTGGGCCCGAAATGTCAGCTTTCCTGCTCCTCTGATGCTGCTTGTCCTGCTGTGTTCATCCAGCTCTACACCTTGTTATCTCTTCTTTAAACTTGTACCTTTTTGCACCATTTATTTAGAGCTTGCTTCGCAGGAATTTTAATTTTACTCACAGAAATCCAAGGTATTCACTCCCGAGCTGAACCTCTTACTGGGAATACTCCCACTCCCACAGATTCTTGATTCCTGGTAAATTTTACAGCTGTCTTTAAACTCTTTCTAGCAAACACTTTTTTTTGCATATCTTAACAGGTCTTAAATGAAGGCTTTAACCTGGATTGACTGCTGTTTTCTCCCTCCTAATCTTCCACAAACTCCTGCTGACTTGTTCAAGTGTGAATGGTTGTTGATTCTGCATGTTTATTTATAAAGTGCTAAGATTTTTAAAGCTGCAAACTCAGTCCTTTGGAAACTTCATCTCCTGGGTTCAATGGATTTTTTTTACTGTTGTTCTTTGTGGTATTAAGCAACAATGTCCATCATTAACTTCCGTGACATATGTTTGGTAGAAGGATTCTGCCACAAATCCTCTTTTCTTGACTAGGTTTAAGGGCTTTTATTTGGTTTACAGTGGAACAAGAACAACAACTAGCAGCCTTAACAAGATTTAGTTTATTGCATGATTGTAATAAGATACAAAGTTACATAAGTAAGATAAACACTTACACTAACTAAGATGATATCTGTGGGCAATGTTTACTCTAAGATGTGTTGTGATGCAGCCACTCAGTGGGTCCACATGTGGCAGTTGGCATGTTAATATTATTTGCAGCATTGATTTCCAGTTCAGGAAGTTGTTGCCACACACAGACCTCAGAGGTTGATACAGAAGAAATAAAATTTAGCAGGAGTGCTGCTTGTGTGTATAGGTTTGCATACCATGAAGTTCAAAGGTGCATTGCTTTAACACCACCCACGTCTGATAATTAGATTGGGCAGAATTTAACAGAGCCTTCAGTATTAATTAAGTATTGCTATATTATACAACACATGAAATTACCAGATCATCATAAGAATCCATCTGTTTCACTCATGTCTTCAGGGAAGAAGGTTTGCCATGCTTATCTGGTTTGGGTCATATGACTTCAAGCCACTCTTTAATGGTCCAACCTGAAACATGGTAGCAAGCCACACAATAACTCACCACCACCAAGTCAGGTGGGGACAAGCAGTGAATGTTGAGCTTGTCAGCAATGCTCCTAACCCAAGAAACAACAATCAGATAAAAAGTTTCTAGTGAGAAGAGGCAACATCAGGATTGCAGGGGGTGACATGCTGTTTTAAAAATGTGAAGATTAAAAACAAACAGAAAAGAGATGAAGTGTGAGAGTAAGTTGCTCAGCAAGTGCCTACGACCCAGAACCTAGGATGGGTCCCTCCATCCTCCTCCCTTAGCCATTGCGGCACTCTGCAATGACTTTCTCTTATTTTCGAAAAAACCGCCCTGCAGCTCGCTGGTTGATTGGCTGGTTTTTGCAGCAGCCGGTGATTATGATGTAGGGCGGGCTTCCAGAGCTCGCGCTGTCAATGGTAACCGCCTGCACCAGGGGGAGGGGCTGGGAGACCGAGAGCACCGGGGAAGGGGGTGGGTCTCGGAGACCGAGAGCACCGGGGAAGCGGGTGGGTCTCGGAGACCGAGAGCACCGGGGAAGGGGGTGGGGCTCGGAGACCGAGAGCACCGGCACCGGGGAAGCGGGTGGGTCTCGGAGACCGAGAGCACCGGGGAAGGGGGAGAGGCTGGGAGACCGAGAGCACCGGCGAAGCGGGTGAGGCTGGGAGACCGAAAGCACCGGCACCGGGGGGGTCTCAGTGACGGAGAGCACCGGCACTGGAGGAGGCAGTAACAACAGCCCGAAGGACACAGGGACTGAGAGCAGCGGCCTATCTTCGGCCCCGCGGGTAAGACAACACCCTGGGTGGGGTAAGCCGCCCTCACACCGCCTTCTTAGACTCCTCCTCCTCTCCCGGCCTGGGTCTGACCTTGTCGCGCTTCCTTTTAGCCGGCGAGGCCCAGCGCTCGCCACCCTCTTGTAGGTCAGTCCCGGCCGACGGGAGTAGGCGGGTGCTCCCCGGCCCCTGAAACTGAGCGGCAGGACGACGGGAGGGTGGGGTTCGGAGGTAAATGTTGTGAGACTGATGTTAGAGATTTGCAATGAACCCTGCACTCCACACTATGAAATGTAAGTAAGGACCTGTGTTCGAGATCATCGTGCCCGCTGTGGTTTGAGGCTGTGGTTGTCCTGGGAGACGAGAATGCAGTCGGAGTCGCACTCTCGCTAACTCCGAGTCCTGAAAACACGGGAAGCAGAACTGAGATTTAATATTAGAACGCGAAATCTGTGCGTACTATAGCTTAACAGTGTCGGCCAAGCAACAATTCTTAAATTTCTTCCTCTTCTTGTAAATGTGTTTGAAAATAGTGATTTCCACTGCATTGATTCTTTTTTTCCCCCGATTGGCTGGAGCATTCACTAAATTCGTTTGAGAATGACAGTATATCTCAACAATGCATTCCAAGCTGCCCCCTCGCTTTACACCATCTGTAAACTTGATGGTATCCAAACTTGCACCAGGTCCCTTTATCCTTCGCCCTATCAGACCTATATTTGCGCCCTGATGAACAAATTCGATTTTTAAAATTTCACTTCGTGTTTTCAAGTCCCTGCATGGCTTCACCCTGACTTTTTCGGTAATCTCCTTAAGTTTGACAGTTAGCTTTTGCAATCAGCTTGGATGTTCCCCACAAACTTACTCTTATGCTCTCTTTTCACCCTCTTAATCAATCGATTTGTCCTTCTTTGTTGAAAATGAAACAGCTCCGAAACCTCATTTTTTGGCTAATTTGTATGCCCCTTCCTTGGATCTTATGTGATCCCTCATTTTCCTTGTTAACCATTGTTGGGCTACCTTTCACATTTTGCTTTTGTGCCGCACGGGAATGAACAATTGTCTCAGTTCTTCTATTCTCTCCAATGTCTTCACTTTAAGTAACGTTCCCCAATTTATCCTCGCCAGCTTGCGCTCATAGCGTCATAGTTTCCTTTGTTTAGACTTGGGGCCCTAGTCTCAGAATTAACTATGCCACACTCTATCTTAATGAAGAACTCTTTTCATATTATGGTTTCTCCTCCCAAGGAGCCTTGCATTGCTAGATTGCCAATTATTCCTTTATGATTTCACAACACCCATTCTAGAATGGCCTTTATTCTCATTGGTTCCGAATATGTTGAAACCAGAAAACCATCCTGAACACATTCTAGGAATTCCTCCTTTACGATATTGAGATTTATTTGATTTGCCTGATCTCTCTGCAGGTTAAATTCACCTATAATTACAGCTGTACCTTTATTGCTATCATCTCTAATTTCCTGTTTAATCCCCAATATTACCATTACAGTTTAGGTATCTATATATTAACCCCACTATTGTTTTTTGCTCCTTGGTATTTCTAAGCTCTACCCATACCGATTCCACTTCATGGCGCTAATATTCTTCTTGCTATTGCTTTAATTTCCTTTCAAACCAACAATGTTAACCCACTAGCTTTTCTTTTGTCGGCCCTTTTTAACAAAAAATAAATATATCTGAACATTCAGTTCTCATTCCTGGTGACCCTAAAGCTATGTCTCCATAATCTCAACAGTATTACATCAATTTTATGTCTATGTGGTATTGTACTTATGTTCCTCCAAGTCTAAGCATGTCCCCAATATTGATGGTTCAATCATTGCTGGTCAGGCCTTCAGTTGTCAAGATTCTGACATCTTAATTTGCCTTCCTAAACCGTACTGCTTTCTTCCTTTTAAGGTTCCTGTAAATCTTCATTCTTGACCCTTTTTTTGTTATCTGTCCTTAATATCCCCTCAAATTTTGATTGATTGCATTGCTGTGAAATATCCTGTTTTACTACATTAAATGCGCTGTATAAGTATATAAGTTGCTGTTGGTAGCAGACTTTAAATGGACACACATGCCAGAAACCAGTTTTAACTTGTAGGCTCAACTGTTATTGTTGCATTTTTACTGGTCCTGACGCAGTAAAACTAATAGAAGGCTTCAGCGGTCTTGAAGTTATGTAATGTTTTGTGATGAATAACTGGGGAAAACTTTTCTTGCTTAGAAGTCACTTAGTAAGTTTGCTTTATCAATTTTAAAGTTGCCTGTAAAATGGGGAAGTGGAAAGATGAGGAAAGAAGTAGTCTTAAACAGAATGTTGGAGTTGGGGTGGAATGCTTCACAGGTCGTGGTTGAGGGTGAAACTAATGCATTTGTTAAGAGAAAGCTGGATAAATGTATGAAGCGGAGGAAGACTCCAGATTATGGGAAGTGAAGAGTACGGTGTGATTAATTTTGCATTGCTCTAACAAAGAGGTGGCATTGTAGTGATGGCTGTGACTCCAACTGCTATCAATACCTACATTTTCCCAGAAGTTATTGCTTGTAATTGTTCAACATTATGAAGTGAACATTATGAATTAAAATCAGTTTTTTTTTAAATGTACCTTTTTAACTGATGACAGTGTCAAGTGTTCAAGACTTTGTTAAATTTTGTGGGACAAGCAGATTATAACAATATTTTTATGCAGATACATGGATTCCAAAGCATGTTCAACTTTCTAACACTTTAATGTTTCAGGAGCGTGGAGCACCATGAGTTTAGCAGAAATTTATGATAATGTGAAAAAAGGGAGGGAATATGCCCTTCTAGGAAACTATGATTCTTCAATGGTTTACTACCAAGGGGTAATCCAGCAGATTCAGAAACACAGTCAGTCAATCAGAGATCCAGCACTAAAGGTGAAGTGGCAGCAGGTATGGCTATCAAATTTTCTGCTCCCCCTACATTTGCTGGTTAGCTCGCTCTTATCTCAACTTCATTATTGTTTACTGTAGGTGGTGAGGTGAAGAAGGACTTTTAAAATCAAAATATTTGGTGATCAAGAAATATTTGTAATTCCTTCTATTCAAGCAATGACTTGAATTGTTTATCCCCAGATGATTTTTGAATATTAATGTTTGTTCCTTATCAAATAACATATATCTCTCGAATAAAATACATAAGTCCTTTTCCAATTGCTTAATATGATGTTATGGAATATTGATAGGTTTGTGCTGAAATACGTAAAATGAGTTAAACTGAACATAAAAAAGATATTTTAGGTGTGCATAGGGAAATAGGATGATTTTAGTATATGAATGTTCTTACTGGCACTTGTTTAAGATTTTAAAATGAAACCATAATTCAACAAAAAAAACCCTGCCCCCTCCAACTTGTCAAATGCTTTGTTACAGATGATGCTTAATGAAGTTAACAATTTATCAGTAATGGTTGATGTTATGATGGCAACACAAGAAATAGTAAACAAGTGTTGCTAAATATATTAAGACAGTTTAGACAGCTTGTAAGACAAAGAGCAAAACAGTTTTATCATATTTCCAACACTATCCTTTACAGATATTCAATCCCAGACTAATCACTCCTATTTCAACTCTTTAATTTATTACTTAAATTCTTCACAACTCTCTTCCTTGGACAGCTGATCTGGTCATCTTCAAGTCTGCTGATGTGAACCTTTTTTCAATTCTGATGGTGTTATCCCCCAGTTCTATTAGCTCAAAGACTCCCATACAAAATTCTCACAGCCTGGAAGTCTCTTATACTGACATACTTCTGCCAGGGTACTGGTTTTCCTGAACTGAGTATTTTATCATCCTGCTAGGATGAAACTGTCCGTCCTTCTGAACTGAAGTCAGAAGTCTAACTAGTGACCCTGATCTTTCATCATCTCAACCATTAATACCAGAGAGAAACTGTTAGGTACTTGACTGAATCATATGCCTTCTTTGATATGATGTATTTAGGTAATTTTCCAAATGACATCCCTCTTAAAAATAAATAATCTTCAAAGAAATGAAACCACATCTGCCTCTCTTTTAAGATTTCAATTTCCAAGTTAAATATATTGTACGTTTTTTTATTGTATTGATGGGTTTGTTCATTTATGGTGATGCAACTCTTTCACGTGTAAATTAGTAGGATAACAACGAGAAGAAATCCTGACCAGTTCTTTTCTTTAAGGATTTGAAATGTGGAAGGCAATTGTAAGGGTTTGTAGTATTGGTAAAAATGAACTAATTTGGCAAAAATCATAGATTGAAGCTGGTGTGTAATCATTGGCTGCATAAACCATTTAGGAACATCATTGTTGTTGTTGGAGGTCAGTTATCTCAGTCCTGGACATCTCTGCAGGAGTTCCTCAGGATAGTGTCCTAGGCCTGACCACCTTTAGCTACTTCATCAATGACGTTCCCTCCATCATAAGGTCAGAAGTAATGATGATCATGCATAATGTTCAGCACTGTTTGCGACTCCCCTGATACTGAAATACACATGTTCTAATGCAACAAAACCTGGACAGTATTCAGGCTTGGGCTGACACATGGCAAGTAATCTTTGTACCACACAAATGACAGGCAATAAAAGACAATCATCTAACCATCACCCCTTGTCATTCATAAGTGTTACCATCACTGAATCCCCCACTGTCGACAGTCTGGGAGTTACCATTGACCAGAAATTCAACTGGATAAGTATAAATGCAATGGCTGCAAGAGCAGGTCAGAGGCTAGGAATACTACAACAAGCAACTCAACTCCTGACTGCCTGAAGCCTGTTCACCATCTGCAGGAATGTGATGGAATTCTCCCCACTTGCCTGGGTGGATGCAGCTCCAACAACACTCAAGAAGCTTGACACTATCCAGGATGAAGCAGCCTGTTTGATTGGCACCACATCCACTCCCTCCGCCACTGAAGCTTGGTAGCAGCAGTATATGCTATCTACAAGTTACACTGCAGAAATTCACCAAAGATCCTTAGTATCTTACAAACCTATGACCCCCATCCATCTTGAAGGGCAAGGGCAGTAGATACATTGGAACACTATCATGTACAAGTTCCTCTTTAAGCCACTCTCTGTCCTGATTTGAAAGTGTATCACCATTCCTTTACTGTCGCTGGTTCAAAATCCTGAAATTTCCTCTGTAAAGGCATTGTGGGTCTACCTACAGTATATGGACTGTGCTTCAAGAAGACAGCTCAACACCACCTTCAAGGGAAACTGAACGGATAATAGATGCTGGCCTGCCAATGACGCCCACATCTGACCGGAGACAAATAAATTTTACTTATTGACTCATAAGGAGATCATGGAAGTCTTTGCATTTGAAAAATACCATCATTTTCCCATGATCAGAAAAGTACAGCAATTTTATATTTGACTTGTCCTATTTTTATGTTTGAGTATGACTTGAGATTATTTTAATTGATAACTTGTGTTATTTTATCCTGATTCCATTATAATCTGGGTTAAAATGACAAGCTGTGATAAATGCTCATTTTGGTTATATTAATTTTGTGACTTCTCAAAATAATTAGGAGGGAGTGGTGCCCATTCTTATAAGACCATAAGAAATAGGAACAGGAGCAGGCCATTTGGCTCTTGAGCCTGCGGTACCAATCAGTAGGCTCATGGCTAATCTGACATTCCTCATGTCCACTTTCCTGCCCTTTTTCCATAACCCTTGAAACCCCTACTGATCGAAAATCTATCTGTGCCTTAAGTATACACAAGACTATGTGGATTTCCTCCCACAGTCAGATTAGGTAGATTGGCCATGCTAAATTGTCCAAAGGGTCCAGGGATGTGCAGGCTAGGCGGATTAGCCATGGGAAATGCAGGATTACAAGGATAGAGTAGGGGGGTGCATCTGGGTGGGATGCTCTTTGGAGGATTGGTGTGGACATGACTGGGATTCTGTGAGTTACCCTTTGTAAAACCATGCTGACTCTGGATTATATTTTGACTTCCAAATGTCCTGTTATTATTTCCTTAATTATAGATGCTAACAATTTTCATATGACTCATGTTAAACTAACTAGTCTGCAGTTTCCTACTTTCTGCCTCCATCCCCTTTTTTGAATAAGGGTGTTATATTAGCATTTTTTCCAATCCACTGAAACCCTTTTTGTGTCCAGGGAATTTTGGATTGTTATAGCCAATGGATCCACTATCTCTGCCACTTTGTTTAAGACCCTAGGATGTAGTCATCAGGCTCTGGGGATTTGTCTGCCTTCAATCCTAATAGTTTGTGCAGTGATTTTTCCTTAGTGGTGGTGATTTTTCTAAGTTCCTCCCTTTCTATAACTACTATATTACCTGTTACTCTTGGGAAAACTGAACCAAATATTGATTTTTTTTTTTTTTTTTTTTTTGACTGCTATATCTGTTTTCTCTACAATTAGCTCCCTAATCTCATGCTCCAAGGGACCAATGTTATTGGTCTCTCTCTTTTTATATACTTACAGAAGCTGTTGCTATTCAGTTTTCTACTTTGTGCTACTTTCCTATCATGATTTGCCTTTGCTTTTTATGACTTGTTTTTTTAGTAACGCTTTACTGAACTTTGAACATTTCCCAATCTTCCAGCGTGCCATTTGCCTTTGCACTATGGCATGCCTTAGTTTTTGTCTTTATATTATCTTAAACCATCCATGGCTAACCAAAGAAGTTTATGACCCTGCCCCCCAAAAAAAACTTTCTTCCTTTCTGGAATATATTTTGGTTGGGAGCAACTCAGTATGTCCTCATGCCACTGCTCATCAACTGTCTTAGCTTTTAGTCTCCCTGCCAGTTCTCGAGGGCCAGATCTGTCCTCATGCCTATGAAATGACCTTTACTTAAGTCCTGAATGCTAGTGTGGACTCCAATTTCTTCCCTCCAGTTGATGCAGAGGAGCTTCTTCTCTGGCTGCTACAAGAAACAATGTTGCTCCAAGAAATAATATCTAATACGTTCAATGAACTCTCCCTTGAGGCTATCCTTGCCAATTTGAATGCACGCAAATTGTTGTCAAGAATACCTAGAAAATCTAGTGTGTGAACAGGTTAAAACAGGCTGGAAAAATTCCTATTTCAGGAATAATGACCAGAAGACTATTGCTGTGATTTGTTTTCCAGGTGCGTCAAGACTTAGTGGAAGAATATGAGCAGGTCAAAGGAATTGTTAACACTTTGGAAAGCTTTAGAGTAGAGAAACCACCAACTGATTTCTCTGTGCCTCAGCAAGATGAATCTTCCAAAGATCCCAGTGTTTGGCCACCTCCTATTCCAGTTGAACACCGGTGTGTAAAATTAGTAATATTGAATGTTAGTTTAGTAAAACTGAGTTTTGAATGAATTTGTTTCAGAGATAGTAGGAACTGCAGATGCTGGAGAATCTGAGATAACAAGGTGTAGAGCTGGATGAACACAGGAGGCCAAGCCTGCTGTGTTCATCAAGCTCTATTTTGAATGAATTTTCTTTGTTAGTTAAGACTCCTTAAATCTATATCTAATTTCAATGTTAGAAATGTTTGTGACGATATAAAGGGTTGAGATTAAGGTAATGGGGTGGGGTGGGGGGAGGTGGTGGTGCGGTGCGGTGGGGGTGTGAAAAGTCAATGTTGTAAGGCCAAAAAGTAGCCTGTGCTTAATATTGGCCAAATAGCATAAGTAATTGGAGCCGGAGTAGGTCACACCATGCAGCAAGGCTGCTCTGCCCTATTTTCTATTATTCCCCTTTCACCCCAACATTTATTGATCTCCTGCTTAAATGTTCTCTGAGTGTGCACTGACCTCTAGATCAGAGAATTATAAGGAATGATAACTCTAACTTAATCTCATCAAATTCTAATTGGCTAACCCGCTTGTTGTGAGACTGTGACCTTTTTAGTTTTAGATATTCCAGCCAAGAATACAAACTGGCAGCAACAATTAGAAACTTTGTGATTGGCATACAAGGGCTCCTAAACTCCCCCTGCATTCCATCATTTACTGAAAGGTATGCTGCTTTTCCAAGTTGTATAATTTTACACTAACATATATAATTCATCTGGGAGCTGGTTTGCTATGCAGCATGATGCCAACTACGTGGGTTCAATTTCTGATGGAGGTCCCATCTTCTTGACCTCATCTGAGGCATGATGAACATGAACCATAATAACTATCCCAAGTGGGACTTGAACCCAGGCTTCCTGGCCAAGAGGTAGGGTTGCTGCCACTACACTACAGGAACCCTTTCCCCTCTCATCTATTTAGGTTTTTTATTCTGTTTCCAGAAGTGCTGTTGCACAAAACTGGTTTCCCCTTCTCATCTATTCTTGTTAAGTCAACCTGTTCAGGGATGTTCTTATTTATGTCTGGAGCAAGTCTGGGACTTGAATCTGGGCCTTGTGGCTCAGATGTGGGAGCACTACCACCTTGCCACAAGAGCCCTTCAATCTGTCATCTAAGATGTTGATATGGATTATAAACACCTGAAGTCCATGTGCTGACTACACTGATCACTGTCCGCCCCCACTCCCAACCCCAGCCCTGAATATGACACCTTATTCATACCAGAAGCTAATGTGGACCCGCCACACAAATGCTATGATTACATGAACTGGTTAGAAGCTTTGAATTTTACATTGAGTAACTCACCTACTGACTCCTCGAAGATTATCCAAGGCACAAGTTGGCAGTGTGGTGGAATGTACCTTACTCGCCTTAATGACTGTAGCTCCAAGTATCTCAACACCTTTCAGGATAAAGAACTCCACTCAATTGACACTTCATTACCACCTTAAATATATACTCCTGCCACCACTGGCACACAGTACTTTGTAGCATCCACAAGGTATACTGCAGCAACTTTGCAAGGCTTCTTTGACAGCACCTTCCAAATCTCTAAAATCTATCTCAAATGTCAACGGTAACAGAAGTATGTGTACACTGTTTGGCAAGTCTCCCTCCACGTCACATCCTTGATGTCTTGAAATGACATCACTTTTCCTTTAATCATGCTGGGTCAAAATCCTGGGACTCCCTCCCTAATAATGTTTAAAGTACTTACACCACATGGTTCAGTGATTCAAGAAAATAGCTCAACACCACCTTCTTGAGCACAATTAGACTCATGTCTCAGAGCAGCAAGATTCATGCCCTGTGAATTTAAAAAATGTATTTGTCAAACACTCAAACTCTTTCATAAAGCAAAGTTGGATCTATCTCATCTTTAGAGTCATAGAATCATAGTCATACAGCATGGCAACAGACCATTCAGTGCAACTGATCCGTGCCAAACAGACATCCCAATCTCACGTAGTCCCATTTGCCAGCATTTGGCTCATATCTCTCTAAACCCTTCCTATTCATATCCATCCAGATGCCTTTTCAATGTTGTAATTGTACTAGCTTCCACCACTTCCTCTAGCAGTTCATCCCATACATGCGCCACCTTCTGCGTGAAAAAGTTACCCATTAAATCCTATTTAAATCTTTCCGCACTCCCCTTTAAACCTATGCCCTTTAGTTTTGGACTCCCCCACTCCAGGAAAAAGACCTTGGCTATTCACCCTATTCATGATCCTTATGATTTTATAAACCTCTAAAAGGTTACCCTTCAAACTCAGATGCTCCAGGGGAAAAAGCCCCAGCCTATTCAGCCCCTGCCCATAACTCCAACCCTCCAGTCCCGGCAACATCCTTGTAAATCTTTTCTGTGCTCTCTCAAGATTCCTATAGAAAGACAACCAGTATTGTATGCAGTATTCTAAAAGTGGCCTCACCAATGTCCTGTACAGCTGCAACAATACATCTATTTTCTCCACAACCAACTATTTTAAAATGCTACAGTGTATGTAGAATATTTATCAACGTTTAATTTATTTTTCTTATCTAAGAATTTGTTTCCTCATTGTGAAAAACTAATTGTCTGATAACAATCTTCAGATTTTTTTTTACCCCTATTGTAAAGATAAACACACGATATTTGTCTTAAATAGGATTTTAAATGGATGACAATTTTTTGTTTTCATTCATTCGTGGGAAGTGGATGTTGCTGGCTTTTCGTTTTATTTTTACTCGTGGGACGTGGGCATTGCAGATTGGTCAGCATTTATTTGCCTGTGCCTAGCTGCCCTTGAACTTAGTAGCTTGCTAGACTATTTCAGAAGGTAATTGAAACTCTACCACATTGTTGTGGTTCTGGAGTGACATGTAGGCCAGACCAGGTGAGGACGGCACATTTCCCTCCCTGAAGGGCATCAGATGAGTTTGTTTCTTCAACAATCACCAATGGTCTTCAGTAGGTTCTTCATTTCGTATTTTTTATTATTGAATTCAAATTGTGGGATTCAAACTCCCATCCCCAGAACATTAGCTGAGTTTTGGATTAGTAGTCTGGCGATAATACCGCTAGGCCATTGCCTCATCATTGCTAGGCTAGTATTTATTGCCTAACTGTAATTGCACTTGAGCACAGCTAACTACCACCTTCTCTTGAACCACAGCAGTCCATTTGTTGTAGATAGATCCACAGGTCGACAGAGCTGTTGAGGGGTTGGTCATTTAACCCAAGAGAAATAAGGTTATTTGTAGACTCAATCCAGTGTTCTTCAGGTATTTAATGGCTTTTTTAGTTGCCAGGTATCAAAAGTAAATGAAACTATCAGGTGATCTAAGGATTACATTTTATATCTAACTTTGGAAATGTGGTAACATCTTGCCTTTGGTCTGTAAAATTGTTGGTTCATGCTTGAGTTTTGTGTAAATAATTTATGATCACATTTCAGATTGATACTGACAGAATGCTGCATTAATAAATGTACCATTTTTGGGTTGAATATTAAGCTGAATTCCAGATGGATGTAAACATTCTAATAACACAAATACTTTAAATCTTTACTTAAATGTGTTTTAGAGATTTAAAAATTAAATATCAAATTTTTATATTGACTAAGGTTTTAAATAATTCTGAAGAATAACTATTAAAGCCTCTAGCATGATTTGATAACTCTTTTTTGCAGCCAACAAATTTTATTGCGCTAGCCTTGAAAAAGCTGATTTTTGTTGTGGGGGGGAGTAGGGAAACAACTTGTGATTAATACTTTCACTTAGCGGTCATTTTGAATAGGTTGAGTTGATGCAGATCAGTAATGACTTACTTTCTGGACCTCATTTGACAGGAAATTATGGGTACTGCCTAACAGTGTCGTGTTGAATTTCAGAGCTTTGAAGCGGCAGAATCGTGAGGTTAAACCTGCGCGAAAAGAATCGCCAGTTGTCCAGGCAAGAGGACTTGTGGGTCGAGGTCAGCAGGCTGGTAGAGCCGAAAAATCTAGCGGCAAGCATAGTGGTGATTCCAGAACAAGAGGAAAAGATGACAAGGTGTAATTTTGCTGCTTGTAAATTGTACAATTATGAAACTTATTGCCAATTTTTTTAACTTAAAGGATGGCTGGTTATTTTCTAAACTTTAGATGTTGAAACCATCAAATTGCATGCCTCTTCCAAGTCATTTAATTTGCGTTATTTTCATTACACTTGAGATCACTTTCATTTTTCTGTGCCTGGGTGTGTGTTCAGGACAAGATTTACCCAGAGATGCTGTTTATTGATCTTTCCATTACGACCGGTAGTGTGGACCAGGAGTCCTCAGCACGACAGCATCTCTTGGACTGTCCACCTGTCCAGGAGCCACTGTGAGAACAGCGAAGGTGCAGACAACTTCCAGACTGTTAAAAAGTCAAGCTGTTTCTTGGCCTCTCGCGCAATCTGCAGCGAACCAAAGATCACTAGCTATTCCCTTTTTTTACCATTTTCTGTCAGCCATTGCCTGTAACCAATGACTTAAGGAGCAGAACAATTAGTGTGCCAACTACCTTATGTATTCAGAAGGGTGTGGAAATGAGATCAGATGACTTGAAAGAAACAAGATGTACTTTGAATCCAGGTTTGTTAGCCTGAGTCTATCAGACAGTTAAATTGGGGACTTTGGTTACATCTTTAACTTTTGTGACCAACTGGGATTAGTAGGCTTGAGCACCAGTTCAATTTCCTAAGTGAATTGTGGCAATATACAGATGATGGAATTCATAATTGTCTCCAATGTGCTGCTTGGTCTTTGGCCTAGTACAGAAAATTGAGGACTGAGATTTCAAAACTGAGACTGTTTACTGGGCAAAGATGTGGATAATCTGCAACAGCACCTCAAAGCACTAGGAGATACCATTTGTAATGCTTTTACACGATCCTCCTATTTGTTTGACAAAAATGGTGGTCTAACAGCAGCATCCTCTCCCAAGTCAATTTGTGCTAATTAGATGCTAATCAATTAAAACTAACTCTGCTGGGCAGAACAAGTTATTTGTATGCCTTGCATCAGGTGCCAGAAGCACCTGCTGTAATCGCACTCAGTGGGGCCTTGACTGTCAGGAGGACAGTAGAAATGCTTTGGAGATGGCCTCAAAGCATTGTTGAAGATTTCATATATTCACACTTGCTCATGGAAATACTTGGCCTACGACTGACTGAATGTTCTTCTGGAAAGGCACTAAACACACCAAAAGATTTCGCTAGAATGTGCTGAGCCTCTGGAAGAAGCGCACAAATCTCCAAACAACTCTTCTGCCCAACCCTTCAAACACCATGAGTATATCGTAGATTTTCTGATCACACATTGGACTTATAAGTATTCTCTGAACCTATTGGTTGGGAGTGGAAACAAGTAATTATCTATCCCTTGGGACTGTCAAAGAAGGTTCATAACTTGTCAGTCCAAACCTGAATGTTGTCCGGACTTTCACCGTATAGCTGTGGAGTGCTGCTTCATCTGAGCAATGTCGCTGGTTACTTCAGATTTGTTTCCTTCCCCTTCCAACCCCTCAGTTAGGTAATTTGACATGTTGTAAATTGTAATAATTTAACTCTGGTATTGTCATGAGGCCCAGGAAACTCCATATATTTGATGTGTCAGTTTATGTCTTCATATTCCATGAACTTTTTATTGATGTTGAAGGGTCGAGGCCCGACACGTCAGCCCTCCTGCTCCTCTGATGCTGCTTGGCCTGCTGTGTTCATCCAGCTCTACACCTTGTTATCTCAACTTTTTATTGATATTGTTTTTATGCAAACAAATAGTGTAATTCTAGCGAAGCACGAGAAGGACCAATTGATTCAAGTTGCAACGAAGAAACATATTCCATAAGGGTTCTTTTTAAATTTTGAAAATTAAAATTGCAGCAGCAGAATTTCATGTTCAGCAATGGTTTTGGTCTCAAAGAAGCAATGACATTCACCATTGATCATAAAATAAAGTCTGAAGCGGGGATGGGTGTGGTAAATTTCACTCAAGTCTGTGTGGCTTTGCAATATTCACTAATTCTGTGGAAACTAGAAAGAACTCAGGTTGGATGGAATAATGAATAGATGATTATGTTCAGAAACTGACCAAATTAAATTGCTGTGTAGATTCATGTTAAAAAGGAATTGTAGCAAAAGATTGTTAGCAGAATCGTCTTAAATTTTAATTATAAAGCAAAGTGAGTCACCTCTTTTAAAAAGTCACATATCTTTATGCATCGGATAAGTTTTAAAGGTGTCTTTAAACAGTTTAAAAAGTGAGATCCTTCCCACATTTTTGGAAGCTGTAACACTATTTAGTATCTGTGTCCTTGACGGTTTGGATTTTTTCAATCTTGAAGAGGCTTTGAAGGCTCTTAATTTTGTAGTACTGTTTCGAGAATTCTTGCTAGTGCTATTTCTTATCTGTTAACCTTGGAGTCAGTGAATACAATGTTGAAATCCTCTGGGCAGTGCAAATGGCCCACTGCTGTTTGCAGATGTACATACTATTGTGTGCGTCACCTGTATAACAGTTCTAAATATTTAAAACTTTACTGTTATTTACACAGGAAAGTCTGGTCAACTAACTTTGATTACTTTATTAGTGGGAATCAAACATTAAAATATTGTACAATTTCAAATAATTTTCTTTAAATGAATGTAATTAATATTCCATTCTTAATCTTAGACAGCCATCATTTGTCATTCTTTTGGCTTCTAGCATTCTAAATACCCAAGAGCTGCATTTCTCAATTTGTGTTTTCTTGCTCACCATTTGTATGCTTAAAGAATGGGTCTAGAATGATACTGTATCTGCCTCCTAATATGTGCTTTGAAAATTTACTTTGTCTTTTTTGTATACCTGCTGACGCATGGCAATAAAAAAAATTCATTATGGTCTCTCGTTAACTTGATTATAGAGCAGAAGAAACCTGCAAGAAGCATCAGGAGATGGAGATGGAAAAAGATTTGATGGAACTGGTTATGATAAGGATTTGGTTGATGTTCTGGAGAGAGATATTATTTCCAGGAATCCCAATGTCCATTGGTATTATGATTTTAATACTGGGGTTTTAAAAATACTCGGGTTTTGGTTATGGGTGCAAAACTTAGCATGTTAATTTTCTGTTCAGGGATGATATAGCTGATTTAGAAGATGCCAAGCGACTTTTGAGAGAAGCTGTTGTGCTACCAATGTGGATGCCTGACTTCTTCAAAGGAATAAGGCGACCTTGGAAGGTAGGAATTTAGTTTTTGTTGAGATTGTTATAGAATTATTGTATATTGTAGCACAGGGAGGCATTTGACCTACACTTCCCCTTTTCCCTGACACCTGACATATCTTCAAGAACACATGGAATTTTAAAAAGATAATTCACATGGATTCTGATTCCACACGTTTTCAGGTGTTGTGTTCCAGATCTTAACCCTGTATGGTTATATTTTTCCACATTTCTCGTCTAATTTTATTTTGCCAATTATTTTAAACTTGAGCACTGGTACTTACCCTTTTGGCAAAGGAAATAATTTCTGTATACCTGCTCTATGTAAACCCCTCAACTTTGAGTTTCTTTGTTAGCTGTACCTTTGCTTAACCTTCAAAAACGAACCTTAGCTTCTCCAGTCTCTCCACATATCAGGAATGAAAGGACATCAGCCATCTGGGATAAGTTTTAACTCTACCATGGGTCATGGCATTCTTTTTAAAGTGTTCAGAATTATGCAGATTGCTCCAGCTGAGGCTTAGCCAAAGATTTATGAAGGTTTAGCATTATTTCCTTGTTTTTATACAAAATGTCTCTAGCAAAACTAGAGTCAATGGAAATCGGGGTGGGGGGTGTAGAATTCTCTGCTGGCTGGAGTCATATCTGGCACATCATGAGGTAGTTGTAGTTGTTGTGAGTTAGTCATCCCAGCTCCAAGGGACATCTCTGTAGGAGTTCCTCCCGATCCTAGGCCCAACTGTCTTCAGCTGCTTCATCAATGATCTTCCCTCCATGATAAAGTCGGAAGTGGGGAATCTCACTGATAATTGCATAATGTTTACCACTATTCGTGACAAGTAAGATACTGAAGCAGTCCATGTCCAAATGCAGCAAGACCTGGATAATATCTAGGCTTGGGATGACAAGTGGCATTCAGGCCACACTTACCAGGCAATGAGCATCTCCAATAACAGACAATCTAACCACTGCCCCTTGATGTCACCCTGTCAATGGTGTCACCATCCCCCTTTATTCACTCTCCACTATCGAGCAGCAGTGTGTACCATCTACAAGATGTACTGCTGGCCACGCAGCATCAGAGGAGCAGGAAAGCTGACGTTCCGGGTTGGAACCTTTCTGAAGAAGGGTCCCCGAAAGATCAGTATTCCTGCTCCTCTGATGCTGCCTGGCCTGCTGTGTTCCTCCAGCTCCACACTGTTATCTCAAACTCCAGCATTGGCAGTTCTTATGTCACAAGATGCGCTGCAACAATTTGCTAAAGATCCTTAGACAAGATCTTCCCTGAACCCATGGCTACTACCATCCAGGAGGACAAGGGCAGCAGGAACATAGGAACACTACTACCTGCAAGTTCTCCAAGTTATTCACCATCATGACTTGGAAGTATATTGCGGTTCGTCAGTGTCACTGGGCACAAAATCCTGGAATTCCCTCACGAATAACATTGTGGGTCTACCTGCAATACATGGACTGCAGCAATTCAAGAAGGCAGCTCACTATCGCCTTCAAATGCAACTAGGGATGCACAATAAATGCTGGCCCAGCTAATGACATCCATGTCCAGAAGTGAATAGAAAAAACTTTGCTGAGTAAATACTCCATATGCTTTCTTAACTATTTGTTTAAATTGGCCTGCCATCTTCAATATGTAGCTCTGTTCTTGCACCACTTTGCAAAAAGTACCATTTACATTAAACTGCCTTTCCATGTTTTTTATACTTTGTTCTCCAAATCTATTGTGTGTTAAACATAAACTAATAGTTATGTTTAAAAAGTGGAGTTGGGGGAATATTTTTTCAAAGAGCTAACCTCTCAATCTGAAACATGCAAATTATACTCCGAATTGTCTTACTACCTTGTAATGGCTTGTTATTTCTTTCCTGTACTCGTGCTCCAACAAATCTGAGAGCTAATTGCCATTTGTAATGAGGAAGAGTTCTTGTAGGATGCATTTATGTTCGATTCATGTCCAGTACAGAATATTAACTGCCTGTTTAAGTCTAGCTAAAATGCAGCTCCAACAGCACTCAACTTTACATTATCCAGAACAGAGCAACCTGCTTGATAGTCACCACATCTACAAAGATTCACTCCCTCCACCACTGATGCTCAGTAGCAGCAGTGTACCATTTACAAGATGCACTGTAAAAATTTATTAAGGCTCCTTGGGCAGCATCTTCCACACCCATGACAACTACCATCTAGAAGGACAAGGGCAGCAGATACACGGGGACGACACCACCTGTAAGCAACCCCTCTAACCCACTCGCTATCCTAAATTTGGAAATATATTACTACTTCTTCAGTGTTGCTGGGTCAAAATCCTAGAACTCCCTCCATAATGGTGTTGTGGGTCATTGTAGCAAATGGAATATTGTAGTCAAGAAGGCAGCTGAGGATGGGCAATAAATGTTGACCCAGCCAGTGATGCCCATGTCCCATGAATGAATTAAATAATACATAACCTCTTTGCTGAAACTTGATGTACATTTACATAAGAAACAAATGTAGTGCTCCCATTGCCACGTAAAAAATGAGTAATTTGACATATCCTCTTGTGAAATTCAAATATAAAACTTTATTTTCAATATACCATGTGCTATAACTATTTAAATCAATATTTGTAATTCTTACAGGCTAGGTATTAATAATCAGTGTTTTGAAAAGAAAGGCTTCTTTTTTAGAATCTACAGATAAATTTAATCTTGTTTTTGAAGGTAATTTTTAAAACCTGCGAATTCGTTTGGCAATGTTATGTAATTTTACAGTTTTCTTTATTCCTTCTGATAAGGTTTTTGCTGGAAAAAAGGTATAAACAACTCAAACACTCTTGGCTTGTTCTGCCATTCAATTAGATCATGCTAGTCACTCCATTTGATTTACCTGTTTTTGTTCTAAATTCCCTTATACTCTTACAGAACAGAATTCACAGTCTTCAAAATTTTATTTGATTGAGCACCCACAGCCTTTTGCATGAGAAAGCTCCATTAACATTTTGCAGGATAAAGTTCCTGGTTTTACCACCATGTGGGACAGCTTTAGTTTCAAGACCATGTGCCTGAATTCTGGATTCACCCATTGGAGAAACTTGGATGACATCTCCAAAATGAAAAAAGAGACACTTCCATTTTAGATTGAGCCTTTTAAGTCTCAATGTCACAAAGCACTTTACAGCCAACTGAGTACTTTTGAAGTGTAGTCATTGCTGTAATGTCAGAAACATAGCCAAGCTGGGCACAGCAAGCTCCTCTGGACAGTAATATGATAAGAACCATGTTTCTTGTGACATTAATTGACGGATGCATAGTGGATACCAGAGATAGCTTCCTTGCTCTACTTTGAAATAGTGCTATGGATTTCTGATGCCCAGTTGAGAGGGGGCAGGAGGAACTTTGGTTTAACATTTAGTTCAACAGATGACACCTCCACTTGTGTGCTGGCTACAACACTGGAGTGAGAACCAAAGTTTTTGTCTTTGAGTTCTGGGGTGGGACTTAAATGCTGAACCTCTGATTTAAAAGCGAGAGTGTTATCCACTGAGCCAGCCTAAATCTTTAACAGGAATGCAGATTGTTAGCTAAATGACGATTAGATTGAGAAAGGGGGATGGTGCAATGAGACCTTGGTATCCTTGTACACCAGTCACTGAGCACGCATGGTGCAGCAGGAGGTGAAGAAGGCCTTCATAGCAAGAAAATTAGGGCACAGGAGCAGGATGTCTTGCAGAGCCTTGGTGAGACAACACCTGTAGTATTGAGTGTAGTTTTGGTCGCCTTACCTGGGGAAAGAAAATGAGGAGGGTTCTTGTAGAAACCTATCAATTGTAGCAGAATTAGACCGGATAAGCAGACAAAGGATATTCCTGATGTCCAGAACTAAGGGTTACAATTTAAGGTTAAGGCCATTTAGGACTCATGAGGTGAAATTTCTTCAGAACAGTGAACCCGTGGAATTCTCTGCCACAGAAAGCAGTTGAGGCCAAAGCATTGAATAGTTTCAAGAAGGCGTTAGATATAGTTCTTAGGGTTAAAGGCATCAACGGATGTATGGTCGGGGAGGAAATGTGGAAAGGGGGCACAGAGTTGGATGATCAACCATGACCACATTGAATGGCAGAGCAGGCCTGAAGGGCTGAGTGGCTTACCTCAGCTCATGTTTTATATGTTTGTGTTAAAAATGACATTTGCTGTTGTAGTTGCTGGTTCATTTATGTTTGAGTTGTAATGGTCTGGAGATCTTTGTCCTTGGCGTAGAAATCAGTTGGTTGCCCTCCACTATTTTCTTTTTGTTTACAACAATATGACTGCTAATTTAGTAGTGGGGCTACCGGCTCCCTTGCTTATGTTAAGAGGTCTAATGGCTAATTGTAGGTTCCCTTACTGAAATAACTTGACAGTGGAGCAGGTGCCGGACTGGGCAACGCTTCAGGATTCTTCTGTTGCTACCTGTAGATTGTACAGGAAGAAGGATGATGTGAAAGATTAGATTCCTTCTATATAATTGCTTCCTATAAAATCCTTCATATGGCTATGTGACCTACTTGGCTTCTTGGATTATGCTGTAGTGCATTTGTCTATTCTTGCTGTAGCTTGGAGATGCTAGTCTCTCTGGACGAGCCAGTATAGGGACAACCTGGATTGAGGAATGATCACCTTGGCAGTATGACTTTCAAGGAATAATGTCCCCCACAACTTGAACCTCTCAAGAGTTGAGGGCCAGGGGCTGATGTACATAACTTGTTTGTATACCATTTCAAAAAGAAGGGATTTTAGGAAGTCTGGTATTATTTAGAACTTGTCTCCTATTCAAGAGCATAATGAACAAGAAAAGAAATGTTCTCTTCTGAATATTCTTTAAATTCGGAATGGAATTAAATAAAATTCTATTAATATTTTTCTTTTCATATTCCAGGGTGTCTTAATGGTGGGACCACCAGGCACTGGCAAAACCATGCTAGCTAAGGCCGTGGCTACGGAGTGTGGAACAACTTTCTTTAACGTGTCCTCTTCCACATTAACATCCAAGTACAGGGGAGAGTCTGAAAAGTTGGTTCGTTTGTTATTTGAAATGGTAAGTGAAATTACATATGTATTTTCTATTTTGTTTCTTGCTGTTATATAAGTAAAGAACAAATTTAATGTGAAAAGAAGTGTTTGCACTTTCAAGAAAACAGGGTTAGTCACATGACTTAATTCTATTCTCTACTACCCTCGCCATCTCAACATTTGTCCTTCCAGTCCCAAACATGAAAATGTAAGGAGAGGATCCATCCACGTTTCTATGATTATACTTGAAAATTAATATAGCACCCCAAAAGTTATGTTGCTTTTTCTCGTCATGATTTTGGGCACAAGCATCTCATTGTGAGGTTGTGCTATTTATTTGGCAAATAGTTAGTTCCAAGCTGCTACAAATCTACTTTACTTTGTTTATGTTGACTCTCTTATTCTGTCCTGAAAGTTTTGTAATTTATACTGGTCACAAAGTCCATGTGAAGGACAAGCATTTCCGTGTAATATCCCATAGCTTTGTTCAATTATGTAAAGTATTGGTTATAAACAGCTCAGTGATAAATTGGGAATGAGTGGAATTTGAAAACAAAACTGAATTAAACATGCCTAAATAAATGTGCTAATTAAACATTTTAATTAGAAAGGGCATTTGCGTAAGTGGTGTGCTATAAATGTTAGACAGAAAATTACTTAGTTTGGGTATGTACAATTTGGCACATTTATTTAGGCTGTGTATAGATTTATTTTTATTTTCAATTTCCACTCGTAACGAGGGAATAATGGAATATGTTGTTTGTATTATGGAGCGAGTGCTGCATGCTGTTCTTTGGATGATATAATAAACCTGTTAAAGTGGATACTAAAGACAAGAAGGTGTAGAGCTAGATGAACACAGCAGGCCAAGCAGCATCAGAGGAGCAGGAAAGCTGACGTTTCGGGTCTAGACCCTTCTTCAAAAAATGAAGGGTCTAGACCGGAAACGTCAGCTTTCCTGCTCCTCTGCTGCTTGGCCTGCTGTGTTCATCCAGCTCTACACCTTGTATTTTTAATTTCTGAAGCATCGGCTGTTCCTACTATCTCGGATACTAAAGATATTGTTTTTCCCTCCTTTAGGCCCGATTTTATGCTCCAACAACTATATTTATTGATGAAATTGATTCAATCTGTAGTCGCAGGGGCACATCTGATGAGCATGAAGCCAGCCGTAGAGTCAAGTCAGAGCTACTTATTCAGATGGATGGTATGTTTCCTGTCTGTTTAAAGGCATCAGTAAATGAGTTGCATGTAAAATTAAAAATAAAAACACTTAAATATCAATATTACATCTTCTATCTTCTAAAGTAGCCCCATTCAGATAAGCCTGTCTGTATGATCAATCTTTTTCTCTGATTTTAGTAATTTTACTACTGTCTTGTTCACTGGACAGAACAAAAAATCTGCAATGCAAATGTTTCGTGCATATTATTTGTTTCATACGTTGTTTATAGTCATTTGCTAGTAATGAACTTGAGTATTGCAAAAAAGATTCATTTTGTTGAAGCTTTTTGTCATGCATTCGTCAGAACATCTCGTAAGAAATACCAAAATAAAAGGAAAACAGTATTTGTACTTCAGGAGGGAAATGCTAATTGTTTGGCAAGTGGACTCAAATTGGTACAGAATTCTCATGGGAATGCCACCAGTAAATGATAACTGAACATTTTGTTGTCAAGCACTGTATAAATTTTAAGCCAGGCTTGTTGACTCTGATCGGTCATTGCATTACCATAAGTGGACCAGCACCTGTTTTGCTCAAAAATAGAGACTAACTGTGTTAACTAGCTACTCATTTATGTGGTACACTTCTCAGGGTTCTGCCATAAGTCCGTCAACCTGTCTTGTTTAAATTTTATACTTAGTATGGCAGTTAACTATCAGTTGTCATTAACTGATGCATTCTCCTCTGCAGAGTTAAGTGGGTATAAACTTGGCAGATGTAGTATAATGTGGGAAAATGTGAGGGTATGCATTTTGGCAAGAAGGATAGAGGAAGTGATTATTTAAATTAGAGCAAAATTAGAGAAGCTACAGTACAAAGGAATTTGGAGTCCTTGTGCATAATTCAGAGGAAAAAAAACTACTGTATGAGTCCAGTGGGTAATAGGGAAGGCAAATGGATTGTTAGTCTCTATTTTAAAGGGAATGGAACGTAACAATAGGGAGGTCTTGCTAAAACCATTGAGCGTACTAGTTAGACCACAGCTGGAACACTGAACAATTTTGTTCCTGTTGTCTAAGGAAAGATATACTTTCATTTAAAGTAGTTCAGAGAAGGCTCACTGGGTCAATCCTGGATATGGAGGGATTTTCTTATGAAGTGAGATTGAGCAGCTTGGCTTCTACACTGAAGTTTAGAAAGACAGTTGATCTTTTTGAAACATACAAGATTTCTAAGGGTCTTGACAAGGTACATGCAGAGAGATTTTTTTGTTTTCCCCTTGTGGGGAAAGTCTAGGGCCAGATGACATAACCTGAGTAAGGGGTTGCCAATTTAAGACAGGAGGAGGAATTTCTTCCGAGTGTGGTGAATCTATGGAATTCTTTGCTGCAGGTGGCTGTAGCATGCATGTCAATATTGAAGGCTGAGATCCAGATTTTCAGTTAGCAAGGGAATAGAAGATCTTTTGGGAAAAGGCAAGAAAGTGGAGGTGGAGATTATCAGATCAGCCATGAAATCATTGAATAGTGATGCAGACTTGATAGGCCAGTTGGCCTAATGCTTACCCTATGTCTTGTGATCTTAAATTATTTAATAAATAGCATAAGTTGGGAGAGGCTTGCATTTGACATTATCCAATCTTGGCTTTAAAAGCCTTTTCTGTGCTTGTGCTTGTCTTTAAAATTAACTTATTCAGAGCTACAACATTTGCAATTTTGGTTGCCTTGAAAGTGAAGGGAGAAAGGCATCACATTGAAATTGATTTAGTGTGCAACAAAATAAGCATTATGACAGGGCATTGCATTTTCTTTTCCTCATTCCTGTACATTAACACCTTATTTATTGATTAACCTAACACTAAGTCATCAACTATTTTTGAACACAGTTACTTGAAAAAGGTGACACTGAAGTAGTCTGGATGTACATTAAAACAGAGCTATTAAACATGCGCACTTGTCTTTGCTTTGACCACAGAAGAACCTAAACTGTTTGATAGAAATGGCTAACTTGGTTTAAATTGATGCATGCTGTACTTTGAGTAGAATGTTGAAAAACCTTTTCTGTAACACTCCAGTTGAAGATGTTTAATATTTTCATTGCTGCAGGTGTAGGGGGTGCTTCAGATAATGATGATCCTTCCAAAATGGTAATGGTATTAGCTGCTACAAATTTCCCATGGGATATAGATGAAGCTTTAAGGAGGAGACTCGAAAAAAGGGTATACATTTCATTGCCCACAGGTATAAGATCGTGAATGCTATTAATGTACAAGTGACGTCTTTTGTTAATAGATATTTGTTCAGTGTACTTTCAGTTACTTGAGATATGAAATAATCTATTTTCATTAAGGCAAATTCATGAATATTTTGTAATTGCATGAATAACTGAAGATTATATCATCAAAAGCCAATGCCTGAGCTTTATTGACAAGAAATGGAAAAAATATATTCTGCTTCAGTTATTTTCTAGAATTACTTTGTCATTTTCTCCTCTTAACAGCACGTGGGAGGGCAGAGCTATTGAAAATAAATCTCCGTGGAGTAGATGTTGCACTAGGTGTTGATGTTACAGTTATTGCTGAGAAGATGGAAGGTTATTCTGGCGCGGACATCACCAATGTTTGCAGGCAAGGATTTTTAACCAAACTAAGATAAGATGATGGTATAAAGGGTGGCCTAGCAACTTCAGAAACAACGATGTACTCCATTCTGAAAGTAAATATGAATTCCAGCATCACTAATCAAACTTAAATCCATTGAATTTTAACTTTAATGTTAACTTGCATTTTAATGTAGGAGTTGCGCTAAGGCATTTCCTAGAAATCTAGTCAGACAACTAGATCACAGATTGTTCTTCCTAGTAGGCTAGTTTGACCACATCCATTGATTGAGCATGGATAGGTTAAAATCGAAAGATGTATCCAAGCTGATGAACAGGGTAATAGTGGAGTGAAAAAAAAATCTGATGAATAGAAATCATACTTAAAGATTTACTTATACAATTACTGCTTTAATTGCTTTTAGAGATGCTTCCATGATGGCAATGCGACGTCGCATTCAAGGCCTATCTCCAGAAGAAATCAAAGCTTTGTCCAAAGAAGAGTTACAAATGCCCGTAACCATGAATGATTTTGAGTTGTCTCTAAAGAAAATCTCCAAATCAGTTTCTGCTTCAGATCTTGAAAAGTATGCAACGTGGATGGCCGAGTTTGGTTCAGTGTAACTAATTTACGTACTGTACATTGTAAAATGGAAGGTTTTGAGGAATGCATTCTGTGTAAAGTCATAGGATATGAAAATTGTATTTGCACATTTGTTTCTTAAAGACAGTACATTATCAATTTGAGCCTTGAGAATCAACTTTACAGCAATCCTGACTCATCACATGAAAAGCACTTTAATACAGTAATAAACTAAACTGACATGTTGGGAAAGATGAAATCATTTCAAGTTATTTGAAGTATTGACTCATTAGTATGAAAATAGGATTCCTCCACCCCAGGTATATATTGTTGGTCAAATTATCAATTAGCATTTTAATGCTACATTGAATACATCTCATTTCCCCCTTTTTTCCTATATTCATTGTCGGAAACATTCCTTTATTAGATAGTTGAAATGTATAAAGTTAAGAGTGACATGGTGCATTACAGTAATGGAACTACTTGGTTTAGCTACCAAATTTTAAATAAACCATGTTGCTTAACTACTTATAGATTTTATGGGACTATGTATTTAACAACCATAATTTGCAAAATTTTAACCATCTATTTGTCCGTTAGTAGAATTTTTAAGAAGTTGCAATTTTTAAGGAGCATTTTTTAAGTGGCTTGATAGGAACTCTACAAAATTTAAGATCTACTGATTGGAGTGAATGTTGTATAGAACAGTCAAGTTATAATCAGGCTCTTGAGCACATGGACATAATTTGAAATATTGGTTTACAGACAGTAGTATATTTTCACAATTATTGATACTTCTCTGAAGAGTTTAAGTTCTGTGAAAAATGACTAAAACATTATAATTTATATTTCCTTATCAGTATGGTACGAGATTATCTGATTTGTTCCAATGAAATTTGTATTCTATTTAAGGAACCAGGCCAGTCAAGCTGATGTTTAAATGTTACATGATTTGAATCCTTCTTAAATGTGAAAGTTTGAATAAATTTTCAAATTGCAGGGCCTCCGAGATATAAGCATCTATTTGCTCTAAAATCCTAATGCCATGTTGTATATCTTAGAAACAGGAGAATAAACTGCTTAGCAATATGTCTTTATAAAAAGAGGAAAATTGGCAAGAAGCTGAGAAGATGGTCAACTCTACCCAAACCTATCATATGCTTTCCAAAGCTTTATTTTCCCTTTGATATTTGAGTTATATTGCCCGAGGCACGCAGCATGCCATTATATTGATTTAGCTTATGTCCTGCCTCCCGTTGCAAGCTCTATCTCTATTTTCAGTTGCCCGTCTAATTTTAAAAATTAATCTTGGTTACTCTTCTACCAAAAGTATAATTTATTTTTCTTTTGAAAAGGAACATAAAGGCACGTAATCATACTTCTGTGCAAGTTTTTAATCTTTAGGGCAATTTAGATGTCTTGCTGTTAATCATTATGATGAGTTAATCATTTACCACAAAGCATACTAATTTATGAATAGTCCCAGAACAGTTTCAGATATCACCACTACAATTTTAATGGAATAACTGCAAATTAGAATTTATTTCTAACATATATAAAACAGGAAACAAGCTATTATTTTTAAATGAAGTTTTCTTGTATGCAGCCACAATGCTTGCAGAAGTGAACAGTCCTATTAGCACTTACTGAGTTAGTCTGTCTACGCAGTAACAATATAGAAAGCTAATTGTGACTAATCAGTCTCTGGATGTACAGTAGAATGCATTGAAATATCAGTATTTGTGGAAGCATTTCATTTTTTCTATTATTTTCCTAAGTATGGTAAAGAAGGTAAAGAATAGACCAGAATATCTGGTATCATTTTGAAACTGGGTATGTGCTGTAAGCCAGTTGATTATTTTCAGCATTCAGACTGAAATTGAAGTGTCAGTTTTGGCTCTCTTGATTAGTGCTGAATGCGTCGCTAATTCAGTGTTAATGTTTAGTTATGAGCATTCTTTTGGTACTCGCACTTTTTGTAACAAAAGACTTTCTATAAAGAGGGATGCTGTTGTTTGTCATTTTATATTGTCAATTGTAAACGTGTTATGTGCTGTTTTTGGTGAGAGCAATTGTATTACTTTTGCATATTATTTATGTTTTGTCTTGCTGTTATGCAACAGTTCTAAATAAAGTTTCTTTTTTAGTTGTTGTGAAATCTCTGGGAATAATGGGATGATTCCGATCAGCCTGTTTAGTGAACCTGCATTGTTGAATAAATGGCTTTTTGACACTGCACCACTGTGCTACCACTTATGGTGAGTCCATCCTGTCAGTGGGACAGGAAATATGAAGAATGATGATGGTAGGCTCTGGGACATTAAGACTCCATTCTGAGAGAATGGCTACGTCATGTTGTCTGACCGGTCTTTGGCACAGGTCCCCAGGTGTTAGTAAGGAGGACTTTGCAGAGTAAACAGGGCTTAGGCGTGCTGTTGTCATTTCCAGTGCCTTTGTGGATGCCATGATCAGTCCAGTTTCATTCCTTTTTTTCAGACTTTGGAGTAGTTTGATATAGCTAGGTGGTTTGCCAGAAATTATTGATGAATGTGAGACTCAAGTGGATTTTTTTTTTCTAGTTTAACCTATTTTTCTAATCAACCTGTTCAAGGATGTTATCACACACCTCTGGAACAGGTGGGACTTGAACCTGGACCTCCTGGTCTAGGGAAGGGGATATGATTATTGCACCACAAGTGGGGCCCCCAGACACAAGTGGAAGGTGTGCTATGGAATGGTTTTCACCTGAATTGCTGGGACCAGTGTTCAGTGATTTGTAGGGATTTACTTAAAGCAGAAGTTGGGAGGACGAAGAAGGGAAATGAGAAAAACACTGGTGCATAAAATAAAGGAAATACCGTAGGTGTTTTATAAACATCAGGGGAAAGAGGATAACTAAGGCCTATTAAAGAGCAAAGTGGTTTTCTGTGTGGAGCTAGAAGATGTGGGTGAAATTTTAAATTACTTTGCATCTCAATTCACTATGAAGAAAGAATCAGGGATGCTGACTGTGATAGATATTTCTAAATCAAACTTTCGATATGTTGTGACACCCCTCCTGGAGCAGGTGAGAACTGAACCTGAACCTTCTGGCTTGGAGGTAGGAACATTACCACATGTACCCTTGGGGAACACATTTTGCCCTCCTTCAGGAACACTGAAGCTTTAGTATTTGGGGACTGATATACTTGAAGAAATTAGCATGAAGGAGATGGTTTTAGCAGGCTTAAAAGTGGATAAATTCCCTGAGGCCAGAGTTGTAACCCAGGCACCTCCAGGAGGTGAGTGATAATGGTGAGGGGGTGGGGTTGGGGGTGGTGGGTTTGATGATTGCACATTCCAAACATTAATCTTTAAATCTTTTTGGCCACGAGAGGTACCAGAGACTGAAGGATAGTTAATGTACCATTATTCTCTAAAGGTGACTTTATCAAGGGGAGATCATGCATAATTAATCTGAATTTTTCAAGAGGGTGACAAGATGCATAAGTTAATGTTGTGTGAAGTCTACAAGGACATCAGCTAGGCTTTAATAAAGTCAGTCTCACATCGGAGATGGGTCAAGAAGGTAAGACCACGTGGGATTCAGGAACATTTGGCAAATTGGAACCAAAGTTGGCTTTGTCAAGAAGCAGAGGGTGATGGTTGAAGGTTCTTTTCATGATGGGAGGCCTGTGCCCACTAGATGACTAGGATTCAATGCTGACTACCTTGCTTTTTGCAGTGTACGTTCATGATCAAGACATGTATGCATGCAGTATGAGCAAAAAATTTGCAGGAGACTTGAAAGTCGGTGTGGTTAACTAGTGAGGAGGAAAGCCTTTGACTACCAAATGATATAGATGGGCTGCTCAAATGGACAGAACAGTGCCAAATGGAATTTAATCCTGAGCACTGCGTAAGGTGATGTATTTTGAGAGGACTAACGAGGCAAGAGAGTATGTAATGAAATAGGACCCTTGGAAGCACATTGTATCAGTGGGACCTTGGTGTGCATGTCCATAGAACCCAAAAGGCAATGGGAATTGTGGATGAAGTGGTTAAGAAGACATATGTCATTCTTGTCTTTATTAGCCAAGGCATTGAGTACAAAATCAGGGAGGTTATTATAGATCTGCATACAATGTTAGCCCACAGCTGTAGTGGTGTATGCAATTTTCGTCACTACTACAGGAATGACTACAGCACTAGTCCTGAGAAGATTCACCAGGATATTGCCTGAGCTGGAGTATTTCCACTAAGAAGGGAGACTAAATAGGCGGGGTAGTTTTCCTGAGAGCAGAGAAGGCTGAGGTGGGGACCCTGATTGAGGTGTACAAAATTAAAGGGCATAGATAGGAAGAGACTTTACGCTGTGGTAGAAAGGTAAAATATCAAGTGTCATAGATATGCATTTAGAGGCAGGAGGTTTAGGGGTAACTTGAAAACAAATTCCATCCAGGTGTGTGCTTTCTGAATGTCACGACCTGGAAAGATAGTAGAGGTGGGAACCTTCAACATTTGAAGTATTTAGTTAAACACTTGAAATACCATAGCATACAGCATGACAGGCCATGTGCTGGCAAATGGGATTAGAGTAGACAGGTGCTTGCAAAACCTAATTAGTCTAGATAGGGCCAATGGCCTATGAGTTTAGAAGGGCGAGAGGTAATCTTATTGATGTATGTAAAATCCGAAAACTTGATAGGGTAAATATTGAGAGGATGTTTCCACTTGTGGGCAAGACCAGAATTATGGGGCACTTTAAGACTCCGTGGAGATGAGGACTATTGTTATTTTAGAGGATGATTAGTCTTATGGAATTAGCTTTTTTTTCAGATTACAGTGAAGGCTTGGTCATTGCATTTATTTAAGGCTGAGTTGGACAGATTTTTGACAGACAAGAAAGTGAAGGGTTCTGGGGAACAGGAGAAGAAAGTGGAGTTCAAACCACAATCAGAGCAACATTAATTTTATTGTGTAGTGAAGTAGAGTCAGAAATTTAGCCCAAAACTAGAGGGCATGGGTTTAAAGTGATGGGAAAGATATTTTAAAAAAAAAACCTGAGCTGTAACTTTTTCACACAAAGGGTGGTGCATGTGTCGAACAAGCTGCCAGAGGAGGTGATGGAGGCTGGTACAATTACAACATTGAAAAGGCATCTGGATGGGTATATGAATAGGAAGGATTTAGAGGGATATGGGCTAAATGCTGACAAATGGGACTAGGTCAGCTTGCTATGTCTGGTCAGCACGGATGAGTTGGACTGAAGTCGTATGTGCTGTATGAATCTATGACTGAATGATCTACTCCTCCTAAGTTCCAACTTATGTTGGTTTCTGAAGAAGTCATTAGACTCTCTAAGCGTTAACTTATTTTCTCTTTCCATAGATGCTGATGGACCTGCTGAAATTGCCAGCATTTTCTGTTTTTGCTTCAGAATTAAGTCTGTATTTGCTGTAAGACAATGTGAGATTTCTGAAAACAGATTGAGAAGTTGAGACTGTGACTATAGGGGGCAGTATTAAACAACAATTTGATCTATCTTGCAGTACAGCTGTTAGAAATAGGCTGTTGTAATCTTTACATGCAAAAAAAGCTAGACCCTTCACTGAGGTCTGAAACACCATCCAGTCTATAAAAGTGTTTCTTAAGTTATTAAATATCACAAAATACCAAGCTAACTTGAGGTTCGTTAAAAAATCTGAATTAATTTTACAAGAAAAGAGCCATGAAAGTTTGAGGCCAAGCAGCATCAGAGGAGCAGGAAAGTTGACATTTCGGGTCAGGACTCTTCTTCAGAAATTTCTGAACTGAAATGTCAACTTTCCTGCTCCTCTGATGCTACCTGGCCTCCAATTTTCATGGATCTTTCCTTTTAAAATTAATTCAGATTTTTTTTAATGAACCTCAAGTTAGCTTGGTGTTTTGTGATATTTAGTAATTTCTGAAGAAGGGTCCCGACCTGAAATGTCAAGTTTCCTGCTCCTCTGATGCTGCCTGGCCTGCTGTGTTCCTCCAGCTCCACACTCTGTTATCTTTGACTAAAGCATCGGCAGTTCTTACTATTCATAAAAATTGATGTTAGGATAGAAATTTGTTAACATTGGAAGCGCAAAGTGAGTGAGAATATGTTAGTAGTCTTTTCGATGTCCCTCACTATATTACATTGAAGTAAATAGAACTGAATGTCAGGTAAGTGGTACAATGTTTCCACTCAAGACCAAGTGCTGTAAAATGCTAGTCACTAATGGACATTGAAGTCAAACCTAAATTGATACCGGAATTATGCAACCACTTTTGTTTTGGTGCATAGATTAAGTTATCCATAATAAGCCTATTGTATAATAGCTAATGAATTCATGTAGTTATATGAAAGCCTTTTTAACAAAATGAAAGTAAGCACTTTGTTGAAATTATGCCTTGAAATGAATATAGGTATTTGAAAAACCATGGCAACACAGGAAGCAAAGAAGAGAGGAATAGAAAGTGTGGCACTTGAGTCTTTAAAATTTGAACAACTGTGTTACTGACTGGGCCTTGAGTAGTAACTGAATAATTTAGAAATATTTTACCTTGCAGTACATCCCTGCTATAGTGGAAGCTTTAACTCCCACAATTTTAGACTAGATTGAGGAAATTGAAATTATTGTAAATTACACTCAGTGGAGGTCTGTCATGATTAAATGCAATTGTTCAATCAAGTGGCTTGCCGTGTTTGATTTTTGTGAAAGAGCTCTGTCTTTATTGATACAAAAGAATCTGAATATCAGTAGGCACTGGTCGTAAATAACTGTAAAAAAATTACAGTTTTGTTGGTTTGACCTAGTTTTCAATACAACTGAAATCACCCAAAAAGTAGATTGTAGATGACTTTAGGTTCATATTTGAATACAAAGTAACAATATAAAATTGTCTTAGCTGTGTAAGTACCCTAAAGTTGTAATTCAACTTACAAATGGTTTAAGTGCCTTTGTTTTAATGTTGAAATGTTTGCCTCTTGTTTCACTCATTATTGTTGAGAGGCTTCACTTTAACTCGGAGCAGTCATAGCAACTGTACTCGTCTTTGAATAATGTCGCCAGGAACTGCCAAAATATCTGTACAAAATTGTAATTAATAATT